AATCTCCTGGTCAATATGGAAACAAAAATTTTATGTTTGGCTCAAAGCTACCAAACGTGATGGTGATGAACAGGATGATCAAATTGCCGCTTTGCTGTCATTAATTGGCGATCGATTTTTGCTATAAAGAAAACTATCATTTCCACTCTCAATAATTGAAATACCATCTTTAGCATATCCAATCAGCTGATGAATTTGATTCTGTAGCTGAATGGTTTTAGATCTCGACACTTAACAAACTCCTGTTTCCACGACTCGGCACTAAAAAAAAAAGGTTCCGTACGTCATGCGGACTGCGCCCCTCGTGTCGGTTGGGCGGGAAAGAAAGGTAAAAACCGTTGGGATTAATTAATTAATTAAAACGAATTTCGAGCCAGCGAATTTTAAGGGGTAGTTTCATATCAGGTAATACAAAAATTTCTGGGAAAAAACTTAAACAACTAGCTAACTTACTACTGTAAGGGTACAAAAAGTAGTTTATTTTTTTTTAATGCTTAAATGATCAGAATTGAAAAAGAAATCGATTAAGCAGTGACTGTTTGTCCGTCTTTCCATCTGTGCACATGATAACTCGGTTAGAAATTGAAATATTTTAACGAAATTTGGCATGTGTACTTCGTTTTAGCGTAGGACGGATGGTATTGAAAATGGGTGAAATCGGACAACAACCACGCCTTCCTCCCTTATAACGGAAGTTCTCAGAAATACGAAAACTGCGATATTTTAGTAACTACTGAAGCTTATTAACTCAAAATTAATGTTTACAACCATTTTTAGACGACAAATAAGAATATTATATCTTGGTAACCGCTTCACCAATTTCTCCCAAACTTGGCGTAGTTGTTGACCTTGGTACAACATACTAAACGACTGAAAATTTTTAAAATCGGACCATAACCCCGCCAACATCCCTTATAATCGTTATTTAGAGAAATCCGAAATCTTCGATAAAGCAGTAAATACTGTACTTATGACTACATATGTGAATCTCGATAACTCTTCGATCAATTTGTACCAAAATCGTTATGATTATTGTGCTTGCCACATAAAAGCAAACCATTGAAAATTATTGCAATCGGACTAAAATTACGCCCTGCCTGTTTGGTTCCGACAAAAAAAAATAGCTAACACAAAACCTGGACCCGTTGGCTAACCAAGAATTTGAAGACCCATCACTTCCTGACCCCCAAGTTATATGCCACATATGTTCAACTGCTAACCAGTGCTTCTCGGCGCGTAACGGAAAAAAATCGTGAAAGTGTTATGGCTGTGACAGATGTTAGTAAAAAAAACTTACCAC